TCCCACGGGATTCGGTCCAGGACCCCTGTAGTGTGCCAGTCCAGGGCCTCAGACTTTTCAACTGCTGATCTTGAAACCTGTAGCAGTAGAGCTGCATGTACCCTATGTAGTGAGAGGCCATTTTGTGGCTGGGGGATGCCCTGCCCCCTGCTGGCTACAACAAACAATTGCATTTCTAGGGAAAGGTGAATAAACCCACTGCTGAAGACATGGAAAAAATGGCTTAATCTCACAACACGTGGGCAGGTTTAGCCACAGTTTCAAGTAGGAAACGGCAAGCATTTTAGACGAAACCAAACCAGAAATGCCAATGAACTTTTGGAACCTTGGTGTTCAAATAAATCAACCCTCAACAGATACATAAGAGATAAACTACAGTTAAACACCATTCAAAAGAGATAATAAATACCTTAGGAAGAAAATAAAAAGACTAGACCAGGGGTAGGGAATCTTGGCTCTTTTATGACTTGTGGACTTCAATACCCAGAATTCCTGAACCAGCCATGCTGACTCAGGAATTCTGGGAGTTGAAGTCCATGAGTCATAAAGGAGCCAAGGTTGCCTATCCCTGGACTAGACACATCTCCTCCAGCAGTCCACATTCAGAGAAGCAGGGGTTAAGAGCAGACAGACAGTCAGGCAACAAATAATACAGTACAGGTAGTCCTCGGTTTACAATGGTTCCTTTAGTGACTCTTCAAAGTTACAACAGCACTCAAAAAAGTGACTTATGACCACTTTTCACACTTACGACTGTTGGATCTTTCACTTAAAAGTCATTTTTCCAGTGCCATTGTAACTTCAAATGGTTACTAAATAAATGGTGGTAAAGTTGAGGATTACTTGTACTGCTTCCAGATTAAAAAAAACAGCAACACACAATGGTTATATTCCCACAACAAACTACATTCAAGTCCCAAAGATGCTTGTTCACAAGGCAACTGGACTTTATTTTCCTTTCAAGGCGTTTCACTTCTCATCCATTCAGCTCTGACTAGATGGTGGGGAATGGAAAGATTTATACTCCTTGTTGACAGCTGGTCATTTGCATTCTTTTAGAGAGTCGTTGAGGCCACCTGGAGGTTTATCTGTGTCCTCATGGTCACCTGAGTGGTGCAAATGGGTGTGGAGCCTTCTTGGAACTGCGGAAAGGACTGTGTTGTAGACTGGAGATAGATGATGTTGTATCCCTCCCCCTCTGTTCACTCTCTAAAACACGGGTGTCAAACTTGATCGTGTCACGTGACTTGTCATGACATATTGTGACGTTTTTTGTCTTTGCAGAGCCGGGGTGGGTGTGGCCAGAAAGTGACATGTGGGCCACCAGTTTGACAACCCTGCTCTAAAAGAATGCAAATGACCAGCTGTCTGCAAGGATTATAAATCCTTCCATTCCCCCACCATCCTGTCAGAACTGAAGAAGCTTTTTGGATGAAAAGCGAAATGTCTTCAAAGAAAAACAAGAAAGTACAGTTGCCTCTTGAACAAGCATCTTTGGGACCTAGATGATTGAGAATCTCCATAGACATCAAGCTATATTCAAACAACCACTATTACATCTGAACCTGCTGGCCTGGATTCTCACTGTATGCTGAATCTCAATCTCTTTTAGCCAAGCTGAACATGTTGTGTGAATGGAACACACCAGTTTCCTCAAACCTGCTGAAGGGAATAGCTTTCCACTTCTATGAGCTGTCTGTTGCTTTCCCACTTTTCGCTTCCCTGCCTCCAGCATTGATTTAAAAGCCAAAGAAGGTTGTTTGTATTCCTCATTCAATCTGAGAACTATGACTTTCCCACACCATCGCCCTTCGTCTCAATAGAGGAACTGAGGGAATTTGTCATGTTTTTGCAAGACCTCGCTTTGTATGATATTTTGCAAGTCTTTGCTTTGTAAGATCGAAAGTCCAGTGGTCTTGCAACCAAGCCACTTCTGAGATGTTTGGATAGATGGGAGGTGGTTACCATACTTGATGGTGAAGATGCTGCAATAGTTGTAAGGGCAAGGAGCGACAATAGGTCCCTTTTCTCAGTGCTGTTAGAACTTAAAGTGGCCACTAAACAAATGCTTGAATTTGAGGACTATCTGTGCAGAGAGCTCTCTTCTGCCACTAAACTACATTTGGATTTTTCACCCAAACCCTTTTCCCTTTTGTCTCTCTCACATATGCACTAAACGCATTGTAAAAAACCAACAGATTGCCATCAATTTTTCCCCCAAAGAGTACTTATCAATGCTAGAAATAAAAGCATTGTTAGAAGAAAAATCTGGTCTGTTCCATGGCCAGGTAAATGAGCAGAGGATGCCTGCTTGAAGTGGAGGCAAATTTATTTGACAGCAAAAATGAACACACAATTCAGCTGTGGAAGGTAGGCTAGAAGGTTAGGAAGCTAAAGATGCTACTAAAGGTAGTCCTTGACTTACAACAATTCATTTAGTGACCATTCAAAGTTACAACGGCATTGAAAAAAGTGACTTATGACCGTTTTTCACACTTACAACCATTGCAGCATCCTGGTGGTCATGTGATCAAAATTCAGATGCTTGACAACTGACGCATATTTATGACGGTTGCAGGGTCCCAGGGTCATGTGATCACCTTTTTCTACCTTCTGAGAAGTAAACCCAATGGGGAAACCACATTCACTTAACAACTGTGTTGCCAACTTAACAACTGCAGTGATTCACTTAATAAGAAAGTGTCAATAAAGGTCGTAAAATGGGGCAAAGCTCCCTTAACAAATGTCTTACTTAGCAGCAGAAATTTTGGGCTCAATTGTGGTCGTAAGTCGAGGACTGCCTGTACTTATAGGAACAATGGGCTTTGATCATGGAGTAAGATCCATTCCTGGGTGTGTGTGACCTTAGATGTATAAATCTCTTCCTTCGTGTGGAATTTTAAGAGGGATCTTAAAATTCGGGGTGCAGTTTTAAGTTCTCCTATCTTGAGGGGAATTCTCTTTTAGTTATGTTTGCTGAGGTTGACTGATTCCTAGAGAGATGCATTTAATCAATTGCAGTCCGAGGGTCAAATGGAGGCAGAAAGAGCTTAAAGGTTTCTCTGTATCTTTTATTTGTAGTTTGTCAGTGAATCAGAGATGATTGGGGCTGATGTGTGACATCACTGGAGAGGCATGTCATTGGGGTTCTTATTTTCCAACAGTATAAAGAAATAAAGTGGTGGGCTCTGATGCAGAACAGATACAACATTAATGTAATAAAGTTTATTTGTTTATTTATTCATCATATTTGTACAGCTGGCCATCTCACTTATAGTGACTTATATTATGATCAGTCTGGCATTCTGCATATAGAGCGTGCCATTCTATTTTTTAGTTTAGTTATAAAAGCACAAAATTTGCATCAATGAACAGATATATTCTGCTCAGAAAGTTCACTTTTAGAAACTCTGGCGAGATCAACTTTTAATCCTAAAGAATAGCAGCAAATCTTGTGGTTTATAGCAAGAAATAATTCTTAAAAGATCAAAAATATGAACAAAGTACCATTGGAGACTGGGGATCTAAAAAAAAAAAAAGATTATCCCTGGTTGAAGTTCTGTTTTTTTAAAACAACAAACTGTAAAAACATTTTACGGTAAAAAGCCACATAAGTTGGGAAAATTGGAGCATTTGACATGCAAAAAAATAATTTGTAGTATATTCTTAAAAGTTTGAGTGGCAACATGGAGAGAAAACCCATGCTTAACAGGACTTCTAAACAAGCCAGGAAATTTTGGGTTCAAATACAAACAAAAATACAAAGAAATTTAAAGGCTAATATTCAGCTGAAACCAGAACTCTTCTTGTTGGGATTAATGGACAGACAGTTTAGAAAAGAGACATGGAAGATTATTTTTATAAATGATCTCTGCCGTGAGATTGCTGTGTGCACCAAAATGGGAAGATTTTGAAATACCCACAGTATAGAAATGGTTGGTGAAGATGACAGAACTAGCAGGGATGGCAAAATTAGAGAAGGATCAATTCCTGAATTTATTAGTGACTGGAAACTCCTTCTGGAATTTTTTTTATTAAAATAAAGAAAGCCAAACTTGTGATTTATGGATTTGATTATTAGGGTAGATTATGGAAAGAAGGAAATTATGATGCAATTTCAGAGAGAGAGAGAGTAAAGTACAAATGCATTTATAACTGCTCTTAGAAAGATCAGAAGCCACTTCTTTATACATTTTTTGCTGTCTTTTTTACATCTTTCTTGTTCTGTCTTGTTCACTTACTTATTCTTTTTCTTTATTCTTAGTGCCAACTTAACATTTGGACTGTTTTTGTTCTGTTGAAAACCTCCTTATCTCTATATCTGCCTTTGTCTCTGCCTCTGTCTGTCTGTCTGTCTGTCGTCTGTCTTTCTGTCTGTCTCTCTTCTATCTGAAATCCCTTGCTTATCAGATTGCCCTTTCCTCCGTGAATATTTCTTGCCTCTAATAACACAAGCACCTCACTCTCCTGCAGGGCCAACATGCAAATAAATATAGTTTTCAAGGTCAGCTTTATTATTTGGCCATTCTACTAAGATGTGCAGCTTTGCTCTAAGTCACCAAATAATCAGTAACTTGGATTATCCGGAAGGAACTAAAGAAGGAGAAAAAAAGAGAGAAAACAACTCTGGGTTATTCCCGACAATAAGAAAAAAGTCTGTATCATTTCCTTCTCCCCTGATCAACAGAACGGTACTTTTTGTGCATGTTTGTGGTTTCACTTTTCAAGGGCACTCAACCGAAACTATTTCTAAGGTAGAAAGATTTTCACCCTGAATGACAGGACAAATACAGAAGACCAAAGAAGAAAATGTTTCACTAGTACTGCAAAAAAAATATCAAAGAAGATCCATGTCTAAGGATCGACAGATCCAGTTTGCCAATCATGCTGCAGAGCCTGACTTACACCCAAGGTTTGGTGTTGCACAGGCTCAGTTGGTAAGGAGGAAGTGGGGAGACTAAATCAATTTTTTTTTTGCCTTTTTGTTTTAACCCTGCCTGCAGTTTGTACAGCCACTACTGGAAAAGCCCAACAAAGACTATCAGAGAATCCTTACCAGGCTGTTATTTCTGGAATCTATGGAATAAATCAACAATCTGCAGACCGTTCTGAGTTGGCTGAAGACACCAACTACAGGGCTTATGTCGGTCCCTGGTATGTGCCTCTTCTGAATTCACCCAACCACAATGCCTGGAAGTCCTCTTCTAGTCCTGCTCATCAACCAATAGGGCATTTGCCCTGCTAAGGTGAGGTTCTACATCCTCCAATGCCTTGTATAGCAGAGAAGCTAATGCCTTTAAAAGGGATGGTTATTTACTTATGTATTGCTTCTACTTTTCTTAAGTTGAAAGAAATGGGAGGGGAGGAACTGGACCAGGGCTGCTGTCTCCAGAGAGACTTACATGCCATCTACATTACTGTATAGTCCTTTCAGCACAAGCAGTAACCCTGATTTTGCACTCAGCTATTTTGAAAACCATTTTAGTGTTTTTAGAACTTCACTTTTATTCTGGGTTTTTTAATTGAACGGAATTTTACACTGCGCTTCTCGCTATTGTAGTCCCTGCTTCTGGTTTTTACTTTGGCTGATGTTGTAGGGTTTTTTCCCCTCTTGGTTTCTATTATTAAGGTTGGTTGCTTGGTCACTTAAAGATTTAGACTGGATTTGGCATTTTTATCCACCGACTGAGTCTTTCCCAAGGACCTGGGTTAAGCAGATGTTGTTTGATGGGGTTAAAGATCACAGAATGTAAGCTGTTCCAAGTAAAGTTGCCTTTTGCAATTGAGTGATGGTGATTTTGTCAATGCCAGTGATGATCAAATGATGCTTCAGATGTTTTGGGATTGCACCCAAGGTGCCTATTATTATTGATGGCACCTTTGCTTTCTTTTGCCACAGTCATTCTACTTCCAATTGTAGGTATCATTATTTTAAATTTAAACATAAATTTTCAGTGATTTGTACACAGGAAATCCTTGACTTACTGTTCGTTTATTGAGTGTTCAAAGTCACAACTTATGATCATTTTTTACCCTTATGACCATTACAGCATCTCCATGGCCCCATGATCAAAATTCAGACTTGGCAAACTGGCGTGTATTTATGACACTTGCACTGTCGGGGGATCATGTGATCCCCATTTGCAACCTTTCCAGCCACCTTCCGACAATTAAAATCAGTGGGGGGAGATGGATTTTCTTAACGTCCACATGGTTCACTTAACAACTGCAGTGATTTGTTTAACAACTGTGGCGAAAAAGATCATAAAATGAAGCAGAATTCCCTTAACAACTGCCTTGTTTAGCAACAAACATTTTGGGCTCATTTGTGGTCATAAGTCAAGGACTATTTGTACTGCCATAATAGCTGTGATACAATTAGACATACTAGAAAAATACATCACTTAAGCAGAGGCCAAGAATGAAACTAAAATTTAAGCTCATTTTAGTAAGGATTTCTTTACTTCCTTAAGTTTTTACTTCCATATTGGTCTCTTTCCAAACAGAGAAGAAATAAAGCCACAAAATTATTTTCTTTTAAATTAAGCAACTTACATAAATCTGTCTGCCCCAGAAACAATACTGCCTGGCTAGAAGCATTCTAAATAGTCCCCATTTCTTCCTAAACCATATATATTTGTGGGTGCAATTATTATTACTGATTAATTCTAATCCTAAAATTCTGATTCCATTTAATTGTTAACAAAGTCAAAATCTGTTCTTCTGTAGGGAAGTTTCTGAAGAAGACTAAACTTTTTGTGCCTAGCTGGTAAAAAGTATCTGGAGTGACATTTCCCAGGCTTAGCCCTTAATGTAAAAGATTATCAGACTATCAGACATTTTTTTCCAATATGAGCGTCATTTAGAAATGTACTACTACTGTCCTTGACTTACATCCACAATTGAACCCAAAATTTCTGTTGCTAAGTGAGACAGCTGTTAGGTGACTTTGCCCCATTATACGACTTTTCTTGCCATAGTTGTTAAGTGAATCATCTCATTTGTTAAGTTAGTAAAATGGTTGTTAAGTGAATCTGGATTCCCCATTGACTTTGCTTATTAGAAGGTCGGAGAAGCTGATCACTTGAACCCGGGACACTGCAACTGTCATAAATACAAGCCAGTTGTTGAGCGTCTGAATTTTGATCACGTGACCATGGGGATGCTGCAATGGATGTAAGTATGAAAAATGGTCATAGGTCACTATTTTCAGTGCCGTTGTAACTTTGAATGGTCACTAAACAAACTGTTATTAAGTCAAGGGCAACTTAGAAAGAGCTAGGATTCTAAGAAGCTATCTGTTCTACAATCTCCTATCAGACACTTAGGCTAGAACAGTGGTGGCGAACCTATGGCATGCGTGCCAGAGGCGGCACTCAGAGCCCTCTCTGTGGGCACGCATGCCACGCCCTGGAGATGGCAACCGTCCCTCTTCAACCAGCCGCCCGCTAACTCGCTGAGGTCCCACATGGCCGGATGCATCCCAGCATGGCTGGTTTCCCTTCCCCCTGCCCCATCCCTCCTGGCCTCGCATGCTCTCCTTTTCCCGGGCACGACCCATTGCATCTATGCTTCTCTGAACTGCTGGTGGCGGGTTGCGGAGCCCCAGAGTGTGCCGGTCAAGGAGCCGGCAGGCTGTGGCGGCAGACGGACACCGTTGGCCCCCATGGGCTCACTGGCCTCTGTGTGCGGGGGCTGATGGTGTCAGGCAGCAGCCGCCCCGGCCCCTGCCCCGCCTTGCCCTGCAGCAATGGCACCCCTGCCCTGCCTCACCTTGCCTTGCCTCACCCTGCAGGACGAGCCTCCTGCCCACCACCCTACCTGCCAGAGACCCCCTGGATCTCCCCCAACCCTGCCCGGCCCCCACAGGCATCCTTCCCCACGAGCAACATCGAGGTGACCATGCCCACCATGGCCACACCCACCCAGTCTACCATGACCATCACAGTCACACCCACCCAGTGGGCCACGCCCACCTGGCACCCGGTGATAAATAAGTGGGTTTTGGATTGCAGTTTGGGCACTCGGTCTCTAAAAGGTTCGTCATCACTGGGCTAGAATGACTATAATATTTCCTGTATCTTTATCTAACTCTTTTCCACTTCTGATATGCAATCTGGTATTTTCCACAATGCAAGTTTCCATCAGGTCACCTTTTTTAGTTGGCATGGATGCCTTCGGTTAAATCTCTAATCCCTGCAGTCCCTAATAACAAGACATCAGCCAAACATCAGGAACTATTAACTTAATATTATTTGGCCAGAAAGTGACTTATTTTGGAAATACAGCAAAAATCTAAGTTCTTTCCCAGTGACTGCGATGTCAGTATGAATGGTACATGACTTTTTATGACACTGTTGTACTCAGATTCAGTCATACTTAGGCAGCCATTGAAATTATTGAGACTTACATTAACATTGACTTAGTTTTAAGTCTCATTGACTTCAGTGGGGCAATATGGATCTAGCTGGTTTTTAAGAAGAGATTGGACAACGATTTATCTGAAATGGTATAGGATTCCCTGCTTGAGCAGAGGGTTGGACTAGAAGACCTCCAAGGTCCCTTCCAACTCTGTTATTCTGTTATTCTGCTAGAACAGTGATGGCGAACCTTTTAGAGACCGAGTGCCCAAACTGCAACCCAAAACCCACTTATTTATCACCGGGTGCCAGGTGGGCCTGGCCCGCTGGGTGGGCGTGGCTGTGGTGGTCATGGCAGACTGGGTGGGTGTGGCCAAGGTGGGCGTGGTCACCTCGATGTTGCTCATGGGGAGGGATGCCTGTGGAAACTGGGCAGGATTGGGGGAGATCCAGGGGTCTCTGGCAGGTGGGCAGTGGGCAGGAGGCTCGTCCTGCGGGGTGAGGTAAGGCAGGGCTGGGGTGCCATTGTCGCAGGGCAAGGCGAGGCAGGGGCTGGGGTAGCTGCTGCCTGACACCATCGACCCACGCACGCAGAGGCCAGCGAGCGCATGGGGGCCAACAGTGTCTATCAGCAGCCACAGCCTGCCGGCCTCTCGACCGGCACTCTCTGGGGCTCCGCAGCCCGCCACAAGAAGTTCAGAGAAGCTGCCTCTAAGCTGGACAGATGGCCAACAGCTGAGGAGGCGATGCAGTGGGTCGTGCCCGGGAAAAGGAGAGCATGTGAGGCCAGGAGGGATGGGACAGGGGGGAGGGAAACCAGCCATGCTGGGATGCATCCGGCCATGTGGGACCTCGGCGAGTTAGCGGGAAGCTGGTTGAAGAAGGATGGTTGCCATCTCTGGGGCATGGCGCGCGTGTCCACAGAGAGGGCTCCGCGTGCTGCCTCTGGCACGTGTGCCATAGGTTCGCCACCACTGTGCTAGAAGAATAATCTGGAAGAAAGTGGGAGTTAAACTGTATCTAATAAAAGTTATACATAAAGTGATTGAATTCGGATCACTGATTAAGCACTAGCATGTCTATTCGCCACTTTCTTTTTAACTCACCAGAAGTATTTCATGTTCTAATTTTAGGACCTATGAAGTTGTTTCATGATCGCTGATGAAGCCCACAGTAAACCTAGAGCCACCACATAAGCCAAATGCTTTTATCATTATGCCTGCTTTGAACCAGATTCCCTTGAAACTTTGCACACTGCTATTCCTCTTCCCATGGATACACTGGGGTGCAGATTGTTTTGGTTTCAGGAATTGTGTCCTTTCCCCTAACAGACCTGGCCTCGCTGTTTGTACTGGCCATGCCATCGTTAATCTGAATTCTGCCATTGCTCCTCTGCCAAATGTGACTTACTGGCTCAATGCCTCCCACAACTTAGTGGAAATGCTGAATTCTACCACCTTTTCCCACCTCCCTGATTTATTGGAACTTTACCTGGACCATAACAACATATCACACATTGAACCCAACACCTTTCAAAGTCTGGAAGGCCTTGAAGTTCTAGATTTGAGTTGGAACCAACTGACTGCCCTAGGTCCCGCTTTGCTAGCCAATTTGAAACATCTCCAGGTATTGCACTTGGAGAATAACAAAATTGCCACCGTGCACCCGAGTTCATTTATGTTCCAGTTGGCTCTTCAGGAACTTATTCTTTCCTCCAATAAATTCTCTAGTTTTCAAGAGATGGCTATAGCTGTAAAAAACTTGTCCCAACTCATCATTCTGGATCTGAGCAACAATAGCATCTCTGCCCCATGTGTTGGTCCTTCCTTGCTCAGTTTCCCCTCCCTGAGGAATCTCAGTTTGAATAGAAATGTCATTCACAGACTGGACCTGTCCAATTGTTCCTTTCCTAACTTGCGACAACTGGACTTAAGTATTAATAACATGTCAGAACTGGGAGCTGGAGTCTTTCAAGCCACTCCAGCTTTGACAGAGCTCTCTTTAGACTCGAATCTTCTAAAGGTCTCTGAGCTTATCAACATATCCCTTCCTAACCTGACTATGTTGCATTTATCCAGTATGCATCCATCATTAAGCACAAATTTATCAGTAGCTTGCTCTGTCTTCCAAAATCTGCCATCCTTAATTTCTTTGGACGTCAAACATTCCAAGTTTACTGTTACTCAGTTGAGACAGTTGGGTTCTTGCACTAACCTCACCTGGTTGACTCTGGATACCTCAGGGTTTAGGTATCTGGAAAATAAGACCTTCGAAACATTTCGGAACTTAAAGTATCTCTCTATGGATAAGTGCAAGATATTGAAACTCCGTTCTAATATTTGGGGGAAAGGGTTACCATTGCAAACCCTGATCCTGAGTAGAAATGACATTGATTATTTAAATGAGTATGTTTTCGCTGCTTTGAAGAATTTAAGCTATTTGGACTTATCAAAGAACCGCCTGACCAATCTACAAAAAAAATCTTTTTTTGGCATGGCAGCATTGAAGACACTTAAGCTTCAGAACTGCCAGATCACAGCTGTAACCCGTGACACTTTCACCTATGCTCGTAAAATGGAGTTTTTGGATTTGAGTTTTAACAGCATTACACGAATCAAGGATTATGCCTTTACACGCCTGCGTGTGAAGACTCTCCTGCTTTCAGGAAACAGAATTTTGACGGTTCAGAGCTCTGCTTTTCGGAATCTCAATTCTCTAAAATACCTTGCCTTGGATCAAAATTTCATATACAAGTTTTCTGAATCAGTCTTTAAACCCCTGAAGCAGCTGCAAACATTAGATCTCAGTTACAATCATCTCTTTACTTACAACAAATACGATACTCCAAGCCCTTTTCAGGATCTCCACTCCCTTGTGAAACTGGATATTAGTTTTCAGACACCTAAATTACCAATCCAACCTCCAGACAAACTTTTCCAAGGGCTGGAGAATCTAAAGTTCCTGTCTTTGAAAGGAAACCCCAGCAGTGTGTTTTCCCGCCTTTCATTTATCAATCTCACCGCTCTTGAATCCCTAGACCTCTCTGAAACTGAGCCAGGGAAACGTGACTCTTGGGAACTCCATCCGCGTTTTTTTCAAGGACTAAGTAACCTACATAATCTCTGTTTAGAAGATAGTGCCATTCCAGATCTACCCAAAGAAATCTTTTCTGGTTTGACCTCTTTGGAACAGCTGGACCTAAGCAACAATGATTTGAAGAACATCAGTAAAGAACTGCTTAGTGGACTTTCCTCCTTGAAGCATTTGGATGTTTCTGAAAATCCACTGGTATGCTCTTGTGAGAATGCATGGTTCCAAAACTGGTCAATATCTGTGCCAAACGTTCAAGTGGCCTTGCTGGATAGCTATTATTGCTTTAGTACTGGATTGGCTAATCGTTTTTTTGCTGATGAAGACTTATCCTTCTGCTTTGAGAACTGGGAAATGTATTTATTTATTGCCACCACAGTTACCACCCTCTTGCTCCTGCTTCCATCTTTGGTCTATGCCAAGTTAGGCTGGACTTTCCGATATGCTTTTTATCTCCTCAGAGGTTGGGGCTACAAGCAGCTGCGCCCCAAAGGACGGGACTACCAATATGATGCTTACATCTCCTGCTATAGTCATGACTACAAATGGGTGATTGATAATATTCTGGAAAAGCTGGAAAAACAACATGAACCCTGTTTCCGGTTTTGTTTTGGGCCTAGAGATTTTGCCCCTGGACAATACTATATAGATAACGTGCAGAATGGAATAAGCAGAAGCCGTAAGACCTTGTGTGTGGTGAGCAGAAATTACTTGGAGAGTGAATGGTGTGCTTTAGAAATTCAACTTGCCTGTTCCAATATCTACTATCATGGACGTGACCCTTTGGTGGTGGTCTTTAAGGAAGAAATCCCGAACTACAGGTGAGTAGGGAGAGTTGATCCACACGAAGGTGGTCTTAAAAGGATTGTCATATAAAGCAGGAGTTTCATTTGCTTATATTTTAGTGGGAAGAAAAGATTTGTGATACGAGGAGTGCAATTAGGATGCAGAAGGTTGGAATAAGGATGAATGAGCAGGAAATAGCTTAACTCTTTCCATAATGAAAAAAGAGAGCCACATCGCTCCTGCCTTGGGCAGGGAGTTGGACTAGAACAGTGGTTCTCAACCTGTGGGTCGGGACCCCATTTGGGGTCGATTGACCATTTCACGGGGGTTGCCAAGCAAGGCTGTCCGCCATTTTTTTTGTCCGACATTTTTTTTGTCCGCCATTTTTTCCCCTTTTCCGGCGGGTGCCTTACCTCCCTTGGGCTGGGCCAGCTGGTGGTCGGCCTGCTCCGTCTCTGCCGCTTGCCAGCTATGCCTTGGCCGGCGCAGGGGGCGGAACCACACATGTGCGGCGCTCCCGGGCAGGGAAAGTCCTCGACTTACGACCGGTTGGGTAGTCCTCGACTTATGACTGGTTTAGTCCTTGACTTACGACCGGTTTAGTCCTCGACTTACGACTGGTTTAGTCCTTGACTTACGACCGGTTGGGGTCACGACATTAAAAAGGTTGAGAACCACTGGACTAGAAAACCTCCAAATACCATTCTAGCCTTATGCTTCTATGATAAAGCTTTCCCGAACCACCTGTCCTGCTGGGCCATCTGGAGGGCATCTGGTGTAGTCCTCATTGTTTTGACTAAAGATGGAAAGAAGCTGTAGCAGAGAAACTAGATAGAAATTTCCTCTTACCCCATGCTAGGACAGATTTTTTACCTGGTACTCTTCAAGTACATAGTGTCTAAAGCAATGGTGGCGAACCTATGGCACGTGTGCCAGAGGCGGCACTCAGAGCCCTCTCTGTGGGCACCCGCGCCATGCCCCAGAGATGGCAACTGTCCCTCTTCAACCAGCCGCCCGCTAACTCACCGAGGTCCCACGTGGCCGGATGCATCCCAGCATAGCTGGTTTCCCTCCACCACCGCCCTGCCTCGTCTTGTCTCACCTCACCCCACAGGATGAACCTCCTGCCCACTGCCCCACCTGCCAGAGACCCCCTGGATCTCCCCCAATCCTGCCTGGCCCCCACAGGCATCCCTCCCCACAAGCAACATTAAGGTGACCACGCCCACCTTGGCCACACCCACTCAGTCTGCCATGACCACCGCAGCCATGCCCACCCAGTGGGCCAGCCCCACCTGACACCCGGTGATAAATAAGTGGGTTTTGGGTTGCAGTTTGGGCACTCGGTCTCTAAAAGGTTCGCCATCACTGATCTAAGGAGTTTCTTAGTCATCCAGGTCATCCAGGAAGGTCCTTTTTCAAAAGGCAACTAGATTTTGTTTTTCCTTGAAGATGTTTCGCTTCTCATCCAAGAAGCTTCTTCAGTTCTGACTGAATGGTGGAGGATGAAATGATTTACATTCCTTGCAGTCATCTGGTCATTACCACTCCTTCTCACTGAGGCTACTTGGAGGTTTATCTGTGCCCTCAGGGTCCCCTGAATAGTAGAAAGGGGTGTGGAACTTTCTTGCAGTTGCTGAAAGGGCAATCCTTTCACTGCTAATGATCAGATGAAACATCTTCAAGGAAAAATAAATTCAGTTGCTTTTTGAAAAAGCATCTTTGGGACAAGAATTCTGGGAATTACAGCCTAAGTGCCTTGGGAAGGTGTTTACTTGAGAGACTAGGCTACAACTTGAGGTCACCCAATGACTGGACATGAATGATGACAACAATAAAAATCTTTACCCAAGTGATCATTAATTTATGGAATTTTTTTCCCTGCCACTTTTTTTTTTTTTTTCAAAGAAATTTTATTATTTTTCATCATAAAAAACAATCATAAACATAAACACAGAAACAAGTAAAATCCCCCCCCCCCCGGACTTCCCAAACCGAATCCCAGGATAATATTCATATATAAGTAAACAAGTACTAATATCTCTAACTCCACAAAATATCTTAATCTACATCAAGAGATAGAAAGAATAAACGAAATTTAAAAAAAAAATCTAAAAACCTAGGTTATATTCTACCACTCTATGCTTCTTTTGAATATAAACAATCCATCTTCTCCATATTGATAAAAATTGTTCATTCGAGTAATTTTTCAAATAAGCCGAGATCTTTGCCATTTCAGCAAGATTCGAAACTTTCAATCTCCGGTCTTCCATTGTAGGCAGAATTGGGCTCTTCCAATTTTGGGCTATCAACAAACGAGCGGCAGTTAAACAATAAAGCATCAAATTTATTTCTTTTGCATCTAAATCTTGCACAATACCTAAAAGAAACAGCTGTGGAAGAAAAATAATCATTTTCTTAAAGATTTGCTGTAGGTTCCACCACAATTGTATCCAAAAGGCCTTAATAACCTTACAAGTCCACCACATATGAAAAAAAGTTGCATCTGGATGTCCACACCTCCAACACTTGGATTCATAATTCACATAAATACGAGACATAGTTGAAGGATCCAAGTGCCATCTATAAAGCATTTTATAAAAATTCTCACGTAGATTTTGAGCTTGTGTAAACTTCACATTTCTCACCCAGATTAACTCCCAAGTATCCATAGGTATTGTTTCTCCTATATTTAGAGCCCATTTAATCATACATTCTTTAACTAATTCAGTTTCTGAGTCCAATTCTAATAAAACATTATATATCCTTTTAATATGTCCTTTAGCATCATCTCTTACTTGCTTCAAAAAATTCCCGTCTTCCATAACAAAAATGGTCTTTTTATCAATTCGCCATCTATCTTGAATTTGTCTATACAGAAGCCAAGAAAAGTTTGGGTTATTTTGCTTCAAAACTTCTATTGATTTTAGGCACCAGTTACCACCACCACTCTGGTATAACAAATCTTTATATGTAAGTCCCTCCATCACCACTCCTCTAGTTGTAGTTTGAAAAATATGTGACGGTATCACCCAGAGTGGTAGCTTAATATCAAACTTGAAAGAATATTTTTGCCAAACTCTTAACAATGCAGTCCTTATTATATGATTTCTGAAGATTTTATCAATTTTTTTCTGCATAAAATGATAAGCATGCCACCCAAAGTACAAGTCCCATCCTTCGACCTTCAAAATCCCTTTGTTGGACAAATTAATCCAGTCAGTCACCCACGTTAATGCACAAGAGTCATAATAAAGTGTCAAATTTGGTACTTTAAGTCCTCCACGTTCTCTGGTATCTTGAATAATCTTGAATTTAACTCTCGCCTTCTTGCCTTCCCAAATAAAACGGTTCAAATCTCTTTGCCATTCTTTCAAGTTAAGTTCATTTTTTAAAATAGGTATCATCTGAAATAAGAAAAGAAACTTAGGCAAAATGTTCATTTTAATGGCCGCTATACGACCCAGCAAGGAAAGCTGTAGTTTTTTCCACATCAATAAGTCCTTTTGTACCATTTTCCACAATCTTTCATAATTATTCTGGTACAATTTCGCGTTGGAGGATGACAAAAAAATTCCCAGATATTTGACTTTGTTAACCACTTCAAATCCTGACATTTGCATAAGTTGATTTTTGTCTCTAACAATCATATTCTTAGTAAGAATTTTAGTCTTATTCACATTAATTTTAAATCCAGCCACTTTACCATACTGATACAGCTCTTGCAACAAAAATTCCAGTGATTCGATTGGTTGAGTCAGTGTAAAAACTAAATCATCAGCAAAAGCTTTAAGTTTATATTCTTTAGTAGAAATCTTTAGGCCTTTAATCATCGGAGATTCTCTAATTCTAGACAACAAGATTTCCAAAGACAATATAAATAATAGTGGAGAAAGTGGACAACCTTGTCTAGTACCTTTTTGTATGTCTATAAGTTTTGTCAAATCTCCATTAATAATTATTTGAGCACATTGTTTTTGATAGATCGCTTTTATGGCTGTCTTAAATTGATTTCCAAAATTCATATAATCCAACATTTTGTTTAAAAACTGCCAGTCCAATTTATCGAAGGCCTTCTCCGCATCTAAGAAAATGAAAGCCGATGGCACTTGATTATTCTTGTCCAAATATTCCAGTAGATTTACAATTTGTCTAATATTATTCTTCATATATCTTCCGGATATAAAACCAGTTTGGTTGTCATGTATATAATATTGCAGTATCTGCATCAGTCTATTGGCCAAAATTTTTGCAAAAATTTTATAGTCCACATTCAGCAGAGAAATAGGTCTGTAATCCTTAGGTTCCAAAACCTCCTTCTCATCTTTCGGTATCAAAGATATAAAAGCTCTTGTCCAAGACTGTGGTATTTGTTCTCCCAACATAATTCTATTAAATAGTATTTTTAAGGGTTGAATAATTTCAGCTGACAATGATTTATAATAAATTGCTGTCAAACCATCTGTGCCAGGGGCTTTACCAGCTTTCAGTTGTTTAATTGCATTTAAAATTTCATCTGCAGTAATCTCTTCATTCATAAGTTTCTGTTGTTCTAATGTAAGTTTATATGTAAATGAAGATTGTAAGTATTTATCAATATCCTCAGTTTTTATACTCCCTGAGGAATATAAATGTGAGTAGAATTCTGTAAATGCTTTTTTAATCAGTTCTTGTTGATATACCTCACGACCCTTGACCAAAACTTTTGATATAACTCTAGCTTTTTGTCTCTTGCGTAATTGGTAAGCCAACCATCTCCCTGGTTTGTTTGCATTAGCAAATGTATTATGTTTAATATACTTCAAATTGGTGGCCACCTGATCAGCAATTAACATGTTGAATTGATCCTTAAGCATTTTAATAGAAGTTAGTATCTGTTGGTCGCTGAGATAATAGTTTTTCTTTAATCCCGATTTCTTTTTCCAAGTTTAATCTACTCTGTATTTGCTTGTGTTTATGTGCATTGTTCATGGAAATTAGTAGGCCCCTCAAATAGGCTTTGCTGGCATCCCAAACAGTATATATAGGAGTACCTTTATTCAGGTTAAGTTGAAAAAACTCTTCCATGTGTTCCTTCAGAACTTTGACCTTATCCTCATAATTAAACAAATTTTCATTTATTCTCCAAGATTTCCTTTTTTTTTTTGTTGGCCAATCTCTAACCATACCATACTATGGTCAGTCAAAGTTCTGGGGAAAATTTTTGTTTTGTTGCAAGCAGTAAGTAAGTCAGTTGATGTCAAAACAAAATCAATCCTTGAAAAAGACTCATGTCTATGAGAGAAAAAAGTAAAGTCACGTTCATTCATATGTTGTGATCTCCAAACATCCACCAGCTCCAAATCTTCCATCATTGCAAAAAAAGATTTAGGGAGTCTGGAAAGGGCCACATCCCTAGAAGTTGTCTTTTTATCTTTTAAAGTATCAAGTACCCCATTCCAGTCCCCCATAACAATCAAGGAATTATAATCCATAGTCACAATTTTCTGGTGTAATTGTCTATAAAATTGTTTTTGAGATGACAGTTGATTGGGGGCATAAACCCCCACTATTAAATACTTTCTTCCATTTAAATTTATTTCCACAAATAAAAATCTTCCTTCTTTGTCAGCTTCTTTTAAAGTAGGTGAAAGATGTTTCTTTATATATAATGCAACCCCAGCTTTTTTTTTAAGAGCAGGTGCAGCAAACAAATCTCCAAGCTTAGAATTTAGCAATAATTTTTGATCTTTAATCACAATATGAGTCTCTTGTAGACATATGATATCATTATTAAAATGTCTCAAATAATGAAAAACCTTGCGTCTTTTGTGGGGTGTGTTAAGCCCCCCCACATTCCAAGATGAAATTTTAAACATTGGCTGATTTCAATCCTATAGCGATACTTGAAGCGTAGGACTTGACAAAAACCTTGGGTCGAGCGCCACCTACTGGCTCAGAAGTAGCAGGTGGCGAGCTATCAGATGTTGATGGGTGGGCTGTCATTTGTTGTTCTTTTTCCTTGCGTCTGTGAGCTGCGCGAGTCATTCTTTGTTCTATTCCATTATCTTTTAAACGCCCATTTACATCCTTAACACCGGAAATAGAAGGGAGGTCCACAATCAAATGCTCAGCTGCATCAGTCTTTTGAGGTGTGGCTGGACACTCCGCTTGCAACACAGACGCCATAAAATCATTCGCTTTTTTAACCGAGTTAATTCTGTAACGCTTACCAGCCACAGTTACAATTATACCCACCGGTATATCCCATCTGAAAATTATTTGTCTGTTCTTAAGTTCCTGCACCAAAAAAGCATAGTCTCGACGCGCTTTAAGTATTTTCGCTGGAATTTCTTTTAAAAGAATGATGTCTTGGTTTAAGATCTTAAATCTTTGTTGATAAAAAAGCTGCATTATTTCATTTCGTCTCGCTTTTCTTGTAAAATAGACCACCACATCTCTTGGCAAATTTCTCTGATGAGCCACCCAAGAATTCACTCTGAAGACACATTCTATTTCATCATAAATTTCCTGCCCACAAGCCAGGGCATCTATCAATGCTTGTGAGATTACTTCTCTTAATTTTTCTTTTGGATCCTCAGCCAACCCACGAATTCGAATTGCGTACTCCATGTCCCGAAATTGAGCGACCAAGACGTCACCTTTAACATTTTCCAAGCCCTCCTCTACAAGTTCCAATCTTTGCTCGCTCGCTTCAGCCCTCTGTTCATTTTCCTCCACCCTTTCTGCCACCCCATCTACATATTCGGCCAAACCTTGGAAAGCAGTTGTCACATTCAAACGAAAGCCCTCATGTTTCTGTAATAATTCTTGTTGTTGCTGTATTAATTGATCAATCTTATTCTCAATTTTAGCATCCATTTTTTGTAACATCTCTGTCATTTGCTTAATACTTTCAGTCACTAAATCCTGTAATTCTTTACCAGAGGGCGGTGGAGGTGAGGAAGATGGCGGGGGTGGCGGGTGGGAAGCCGGCTTAGAAATTGGTTGGAGCGGCTGGGGAGTCGGAGATGTAATTGATTTTAAGGTTGTGGGCACCACTCTTCTCGAAGCCATATTAGCAATTTAAAATTTCAGTCTGTGTAAAAGTCTTTTTAACGATTAGTCCAGAGCAAGTAGTGAAAGTATTAGAAGTAGTGAAAGTTCCAGACCGGAAATCCAAGTCACTTTAATTTCTTCTTGCTAAAAAGTTTCATTCCAACGCCATTTTAAGTTCACTTTCACTCAGTCCACCCCAAGTATAGGGAAGATCAGAATATTCCAAGTTAGAGTAAAATCCCAAATAGAAGACAAATTTCCAGGGTCGGTTTGTCTGCATGTAATAACTCACAGTTCAATTTAAGTTGCAGCGGTGGCGGCGGCTTCTAGCTTCGCCAAGGCGAAGGCGTCCTGGATCGCGGAGAATCCTCGGGGCTCCGGAGGAGTTCTAACCTCCATCGTCCACATAGGACGACTCGGGAACTCAACTCCTACCCCGGGCAGCTCACCGATCCCCTTATGCCCGGGGGAAAGGTATCAAGCCGTTTGACAGCTGATGCTTGCTGTCAAAACGGCTTTTACGCGAAAACAGGCGGGAGGCAGCTACAGCTGCGTCCGACGAGGTCGCCTGCACACCGGAAGTCCCCCTGCCACTTGATATGGGGATTATAATAACCAGTTTGGAGATGGCTTTAGAAGAGCGATAAATGTGTGTATTTGTGGTGGAAGAAAAATCTATGTGGTGTTTTTCAAACTCTACAACTTTAAGAAAAGTGGACTTCAAATCCCAGAATGCTCTAGCCAGGATGTTGGCTGGGGTATTCTGGGAGTTGAAGTCCACATTTCTTAAAGTTGCAGTTTGAGAAATACTGGTCTACAATATCTGTTCAAGATGGCATCCCACTCACTACCAGAACAACAGAAGAGAGCAGTTGCTCTCCTTTTATGTTTAGAAGTCTCCCCCACAGTTGGCTTGGGTGTGGACCAGAGTGTCTTTTCCTTACACACTTCTTTGTGTCTGTTCTTGTGTCTGAGATGGGGAAAATAAAAAACATCCCAATCCTTTTGTTATTTTCTAGGTTGTCTCCATATCATCGCCTAAGGAAACTAATTAAACAAGAGAGCTACCTTACTTGGCCCGAAGATCCTGAGGCTGAAGATGTGTTTTGGACCAAACTATGTGGAGCCTTAGGCTCTGAGAGACAAGAAAATTTCAAACCATTCGCTGTAATTGAGTAGCCAAAACCAGGAAGAACATGACTATAATTATTTATTAGCATTATTTTTTTACCTAGAATAATTTGAAGACAATAAGTTGATAGGTAACTGCTGAGGTTGGATGCTGTATTTTCCAAGCCTGGATGTCTAGATTAAATATATATATATAACTATATATATGTAGGTCTTTGGATATTCGGGTTTTCTCCCGCGTAAAATTGGAAGTGTCTTGGTGACGTTTCGACGAAGTCACATTCGTCATCTTCAGGCTGGTGTCTTCAGCTTCGTGCTTCTGGGAGTCCTCGTGCTTCTGGGAGTCCTTCACTCCCAGAAGCACGAAGCTGAAGACACCAGCCTGAAGATGACGAATGTGACTTCGTCGAAACGTTGCCAAGACACTTCCAATTTTACGCAGGAGAAAACCCAAATATCCAAAGACCTACATACAAACACCCGCGAAAACCTCAGAAAACAACTATATATATATAACTATATATATATAACTATGTGGTCTCCCTCTTCACTTCCATACCTCAGGAGTTAGCCATTCGGACGGTTAGTGACCTACTCGAGCGTAAGGGCCTTGGACAACATCAGGACCGTTTAAGACCTCAGGACCTCGTGGACTTGTTAAGGGTTTGTCTTGTTACGTTCTTCACCTTCAACGGAACGGTGTATGAGCAGATAAAGGGTACCCCTATGGG